TTGCACCACAGATCTGTTTCACAGAACTATGTTGTGCCTCCTCACCTTGAAGCTCTTCTGGCCTCATTCACACCTTCTCTCTTTCCTCTCTAAGGTGCCCCTGGCAAAAAATATTTATGGGCTGATTGGCCCAAATGGTGGGCTTGGCTTCGCCATAGGTAAGTGGTCAGTCTGTACAATTCCCAGCACTGCCTTGAGAAAAATACCTCATGATCTCATGCTTGCTCCAAGCAGGAATGGTGGACTCCTCCATGATGCCTATTATGGGTTACCTCGTGGACCTTCGCCACACCTCTGTCTATGGCAATGTCTATGCCATTGCAGATGTTGCCTTCTGCATGGGCTTTGCAATTGGTATGGACCCGTGGGGTGTTGTTCTCAATGCTTTCCTCCACCCAGTGTCCAATGGCAGCAACTGGCACTGAGTCTGTAGCACAGCCATTGCAGGCTTTAGATCCCTTCCAAAGTGGAAGAGCACCTTTTGCTCTTTTCCTGCCTCCTGAGCCTTTGTTCATATTTAAATGTGCAGGTCCCTCAACGGGAGGTGTGATTGTACGAGCTATTGGGTTTCCCTGGCTGATGGTCATCATTGGAGTTACCAACATTGCTTATGCTCCTCTCTGCTGGTTCTTGAGAAGCCCTCCTGCTAAAGAGGAGAAGATAGTGAGTGTACTTTACTGCCCTAAAGTATAGGAGCTTGATAATCCAGAGATATGTGGAAGGAATTAGGATAAATTAGCCAGGGACTGGATCGTCCTAATTCACAGCTTGTATTCCCTGGGCTTTCTCTAAAGCTAGTAACGCTTCCATTTATTATTAAAATTAATGGCCACTTTTACTAAAACATCGCTTCTCTCCTTTATGTAGGCAATTTTAAGCCAGGAGTGCCCCATGCAAACCAAAAGCTCCACCGCTCAGAAGCCACTGCGGGATTTCCCTCTCCCAGACAACAGTGATGTGGAGGCAGAAAATGTGGAATAGCAGCAAGGCTGCATGTCCTGCTTGAAGCTATGTTAAGTTCACAGAGCAACGTATCTCTCAGCACCCAGGAATAACCCAAGACCTGTAGGCACAGGACAGACATGGGCTGAACGTTCAGCTATTCTCCTGGCACTCAATCTACATCAGGGAATGCACTTGGAGGCTCCCTGCCCAACTCTGCCACCCCTTTGCTGGGTGACATCCAGGAAGGTCACTCAAAATCCACCTCAGATGTAAAAAACATACAATGTAGAGAATGATGCCATGCTGTCCTGGGCTGCCAGCCCACGCAATAAAACCAACACCTCTCTCACACCAGTTGCATTCATTAATGTCTTTTAAGTGCTTACTGCTTTTGGAAGAAAAGCACCAAAGAAAACCAAAATGAAGTCAGCAGCTTCAGGACATCCCTTCCTCCAGAATTCTGCTGTAATCCCCAGCACAAAACCTTTCTGTATCAGCAGGATCCAATAAAGACAGCTGTGTCCTGTTCATGTGCTCCATGCTCACTTGAAGGCAGTTTTTAAAAGTTCGTTGTTGTCTCGGTACAGACTGTCTGTGCTTTCTATTCACGTGCTATTCACGTAAGGGCTGCTTGTACTGCCCTTCTACCATTCGTGAAGAACTCTTGAGAAATTCACTTAAATATAAGGCTGAAAGTTTTAAACCTTTAGACGCTGCTTCAGTCACTGAGTTCACCTGTGATTACAGTGACAGAGCGTTGCCGCAGACGCCTTTAGCTGAGATGAGGTCACGGGACGTCTGCGATCCCAACCAATCGTGACGAGTAGCTCCATTTAACGTCCATTTTTGCAACATCCCAGCCACCAGCTGACGGAACCCCACCGCGCAGCGCTTCCCGCAGCCCTGCAACGCGCCTCGCACCGCCGCCATGACACCCCCGCAACTCTCGCGAGACCCTCGCAAAAAGCCTCGCGACACTCACGCGAGACTCTCGCCTCCCGGATGCCCCGCCCCCTTCCGGTGATGGCGGCGCTCTAGGCCGCGCGGTTCGGCGCCACCATGCACTCGGACGACGTGAGTCCGCCGCGCGGTTCGGTTCCGTTCTATCCGCCCCCGCCGCAGATAATTAGCGGCTAGCCTGGGGCTGGGTCGGTTCGTCCGGCTCGGGCAGTCCCTCCCAGCCGCGGGAAAATAACACGTGGAGGCGGCTGGATCGAGAGGCAGGAGCGTGGCTGGGGCAACGTAGAGGGGATTTGGTTGTGCTGCATCTTCTCCCTGCAGTGTGGGTCCCCTCTGTTACAGCCTTGCTTGCTCCGGGGATTGGAGGGGTTACGGGGTCCTAGGGTGCTTGCTGACCTGTGGTTTGTCCCTGCAGATTGTCTGGGACACGCTCGGAAACAAGCAGTTCTGCTCCTACAAGATCAGGTGAGTGTGTGTGCATGTAGGGGTAGCGAGCCCAGGCAATGCACAGCTCCATCTTACAGCTCTCCCTTCCAGGACCAAAACCCAGAGCTTCTGTCGCAATGAATACAACCTGACCGGGCTGTGCAACCGCTCCTCCTGCCCGCTGGCCAACAGTCAATATGCAACCATCCGTGAGGAGAAGGGTGAGTGCTGGGACAGCCTCTGCTCACAGCCCTTGGCCTGTGGGAACAACCTGGGGGCCTGGCTCTGTGCCCCACTCCATGCTCAGGTCTCAGTGGGGGTCATGTTCTTCTCTATAGGCCGATGTTACCTGTACATGAAGACCATAGAGCGCGCTCCGTTTCCCCGTCGGCTGTGGGAGCGGGTGAGTTGATGAGAGCAGACTGCTAACCAAGCACATTCCACCATCATGTACCTACAGGCAGGGGGCAGTCGAGCTCCATCCAAGTCCCCTTCGCTCCACCCTTCCCCTTTTCCCCAGGTCCTGCTGAGCAAGAACTATGAGAAAGCACTGGAGGAGATAGATGAGAATCTCATCTACTGGCCACGGTTCATCCGACACAAATGCAAGCAGCGGTTCACCAAGATCACTCAGTACCTCATCCGCATCCGGAAGCTGACTCTAAAGAGACAGTAAGTGACACCAAGAGTGATTGTGTTGGTTTGACTTAAGGCTGTTGCCTGTGCACTGAGCTGCTGCCACAGGCTGTGTGCAGAGCCCTTTCCTGGCTCCACTGCACCTGCAGTGTGTGCTGCTTTCCTGCTGGCTTTGGCCGGCTTCTAAATGAACCAGCTTTAAACTGATGTAACAGCATCTTAATATGCATAGATAGATGCACCTAAACTCGTTACACACACATTTCTAATGATGCAGCTGCTGGTTGTTGTTCTGAGCAAGCATTTGCCCATCTGCTACACAAGAGGCTGAAAGGTTCATTAAGCAGCTCTTGTTCCCTGCAGGAGGAAGATCGTTCCATTAAGCAGAAAGATTGAAAGGCGAGAGAAGAGGAGAGAGGTAACGACTCTTGTCATCTCCTGTCTGTTGCTTCTGTTTCTCATGCCTTTGAGAGAACTGACACAGGTCCTTTTTTTCTCACTTAGGAGAAAGCCCTGATTGCTGCTCAGCTAGATAATGCCATTGAGAAGGAATTGCTGGAGAGACTGAAGCAGGATACGGTAAGAGTCACTGCCTTCAGAACACAGCAGTATAACTGCTTCTACTGCCTCAGTCCTTTCCCAAGATGCTGAGCTCCTCATTCTTCAGGAATGCCTATTTCAGCCTGGTATGGTATAACTGTACAGGCCTCAGATGACTCTGCTACCAATGCCTGCTTCCCCCTGGGCTTATAGAAAGTATTTTTTGTTGTTGTTGTTTTCTTTTCAGTATGGAGACATTTACAACTTCCCCATTCATGCCTTTGACAAAGCCCTACAGCAGCAGGATGCAGAAAGTGAGAGCGAGTCTGACATGGAAAAGGAAGAAGATGATGATGAGGTAATGCTTTCAACCAGAGCATCACAGCTAACCCTCCCTTGAGATGCAACAGCTCTAATTCACTTGCAGACTGAGTGTTCAGTGTTAGTGCCAAGGGAGGGGAACAGATCAGGAGAGGTGAATACAGAAAAAAACATAGGCAGGTCATGGTCTTTTTGGCTGCTACACTGTGAATTGTGATGGGGTATTTCTCAGCCCATTTCTGACTTTGTTTCCTACAGGACAAAGATAAAAGAGAGTTTGTGGAAGCAGATGACAGTGACCTCAGTGACTTTGAGGTAAGGAAGCAGCAGGGATAAACTGTCAAGCTAAACTGTTTGAAAGTAATCTCTGCCGGCCTGGGGGCTCTGGTGATGGGATAAGAGCGAGTAAATCACATTTGTGGGATATAATGATTCAGTTGGAGGACTGCACAGTGTCCACCACGGCCTAGTTGCTCTGGCTAGACAGCTGGGAGCCAGGAATTATAAAATGGAATTGGATACACAAGATAATTTTGCAGGAAGGGGAGGCTTAGTTGTACAGTGTGCTCTGATTCTTTTCCTTCTTCAGGACATGGATAAGTTAGGGACAAGTAGTGAAGAGGAGCAGGAAGATGAGGAAGAAACAGAGAAGAAAGCATCTCGCTCCAAATCTAAGGGGAAAACTCCTTTGAAAGGACCGACCAGAAGAAAACGCCCTTACATTGAAATAGAGTATGAGGAAGAAACAGAGCCAGCCACCAAAACAAAAGTGTCCTGACTCTCCTGAACTTGCATTTTTTTGCTGAATGACAACACCAGATGTGTCCATTAGAACTACTGCAGCTTTCACCACTTCAAACAGGATTATCAAAAATTGCTTTTTCAATATTGTAGCTTAATAATTTTTTTTTTTAAAAGGAGGTGAGGATTTCTGTCCTGAGCCCAGGCAATCGCAGCGAGTCTGTACAACTGTTGTATAAAGTGTAGTTTTAGGACCCCAACTTCTGTACAACCACGTGAGGCTCAGCAAGGACTGCTCCACAAAAGAACCTGGACTGGAGACAATGCTGCTTTGTTCTGAAGCTGGAGAAGCCTGCTTGGGGCTAGGAGAGCACTGAAGCAAACCTTGTTTGAGGGAGGTGTGAGACAAAAGAGGAGAAGGACAAAGTAACTTAAATAAAAGAAGGTATTTTACTGTACAAAAAGCAGAATGAACCTTGTCTTGCCTCACGTGTTCTCTTGCACTCTCCTGATGCATTCCCGCACACGGTTCTCCTCACAACAGCTGTACACGCCTTCCAGCAGAATCTGAAACAGGAAAAGCATCAGCTTCCATTGCCCTGGCACACTGAGATGTATGGTGCAATCAGCTGTGCTCAGATGCCCTTGAGATCAATACAAAATCCATTGCTGTATATCAGGTCCTCTATCAATTAAGCCAAGTACTAACAGGGTGGGTGGAAATACTGTTGGATTTAAGAAACAAACGGGCTGTTGCATGCACCATGTTGTTTTGTTTGTTTGTTTTTTAAGGGGGAAGAGCAGAGATAAATTATTATTGGGTCCCCAGCTCACCTTCACTTGTCCTTCAGAGCACCGATCCAGCAGGATGAGGCACTCGGTGGCTCTCTGGAGCAAGGCAGCTCTCACTGGCTCTGGTGTTGAGCCCTGGTCAGTGTGGACATCCCACATCATCTTCAGCAGGGCTTTAAGCAGCACAGGGAGCCTGCATGGCATTCTGAGAAAGGAAAGAGCGTTGCATGCCTTAATATAAAACCTCTCTGTGAACCAGGCAAAAGCACAGCCTTGCTTTGCAGTTCCAGGCAGAAGTTGTTAGTGGCTATTTACACGTGAATCTGGATTACAGGAAACAAATGCTTCAGTGATGAGGCTGAAGGAAGTTGCCTCTTTCTGAATGCCCACCAGAGGAAAGACACAGGCCCTGAACACAGAGGTAACTTTAACAGCGCAGGACTTGCTCCACAACTCTGCCACACAGAGTACATAGATTGACTTTTTAGGCAAGGTTACACTTTTAGAGCAGGAAAAAGATAAAAAAAAAAAATAAAGATTTAACTTTTGGGCAGGGTTTTTCAGGAATGCAGTCGTGCTGGTGATTGCTCCCTGTGAGAAGCTTCCCTCCAGGTTTCAAGGCCTTTGCCACAGATAACACTAAATGTAGCTCTGAAAGGGCTGATATCCATTCAGGAGATGCTTTCTGCAGCATCCTTCACCCCAGACCAGTACCTGGGCCAAGCATGCTCTATGGTGCACTGCAGTGTCTCCAGTATTCCCAGTCTGGCTTCTTCCTCAGGGCCATCAGAGACTTCCAGGTAACCCAGGATAACCCTCTCTAGCCTCTTCAGGTGCCGTGCTATCAGGATGCCAAGTCTGTCAACACAGAGCACGCACTGAGGAGGGAGATGTATACCAGGGACAAAACAAGGTCCTGCAGGGTTGTGGTTGCAGCTCTCACCTCTGCACAAAGGCAGGCAGGATTTTGGCATAGACCCGCCGCAGTGCGAGCCGATGCTCTGGCTCCATGTGGGTCAGAACCAGCTGCAACACCTCATCACAGGGTGAGGTTGGCCTGGGCTGCTGCCGCTGCCGCTGCGTTCTTTCCAGGACAGGCAGCAAGTCCAGCAGGCACAGCAGTACTGCCTGGTGCAGGATGGGAAACCTGTGCAGTCCCTCTGACATAAATTACATGCAGTTTCCAACCCCTACAGCTGCAGCCCCCATAGACTTTCTGCCTGCTTCCCCCCTGGCTGGCCTCTTCAGCAAGGCTGCCACCACCTTTGACATCGTTCCTGAAATCTGCTGAGTTACTTTGTCCCCTGGATGCAAATACCTGCTGTTAACAACCTGAACTGGGAGCAAACAGGTTCTGCCTCCTCATGCTTTTAGCTGCCTACCCCACGTAGGGCTGATATGCAATAACATAAGGCAGATTAAAATTAAGTTCTGCTATCTTACCTGGATGAGAGGAGCTTCTCGTGAGTAGAGGTGATTGTAAAGGGCATGGTACACAACCTGAGCCCTGTTGAACTGGCATAGATCAGCACCTGGCTGAAAGAGAGCACACAACATTATTCCCAAGCATCACCTTCTGTGCTCACTTAACCTAATCAGAGGGGAAGTATTCACAAACCTAGGCTTTGTGAAAACAGCACTCAGGAACATTGCTTACAAGAAAGTGGGACCAGGTGCCATAGCAAATGCAGCTTGAACCTTGCCATGCACAGGAGCAGCCACTTTCCCTTGCCTCCCCAGCTGCTGCTTGGCAGTTCCCTTGGCATTAATTTAATACCCTGTCCTGTAAATCATTGTTAGGTTGATGCATGCATCATCTGAATTCAAAATATGGCAAAGGAAATCTTTGCTTGCTGCAACAGATAGGAGAAATACAAACTTAAAAAGAGACAGCATGGAGCAAGGGGGAAAATTACAAGGTTAACAGAATGAACAGAAATTTTGGAAACCTGACAGGTATCCAACCCACCCTTCCTACAAACAACAGCCAGGAGGAGATCCAACTTCCCCTTACCACATTGAGAACGATGTGGTGCAGACAGTGCACACCCAGGACTTTGTTCTCCTCCCGAAAGTCATCCGAGATGAGCAGCGATGCGGGGAGGACATGCTCCAGGTGCTGGCTGAGCCATGGCCGGGTGATGTGCAGCAGTGTCCAGGAGAAGACGTGCTTGGTGGCTGGGTTACGCTTCCAGGTGTCTCTAGGAATACAAACAGGAGCCCAGAGAATCATTGAATAGTTTGAGTTGGAAGTTGCAATAAACTTTTTCTTTATATTGAGCCCAAATCTCCCCTCTTTTAGTATGATACCGTTTCCCCTTATTCTATCACAACAGACCCTACTAAGGAGTCTGTTCCTTTAGATACTGAAAGGCTGCTTTGAACTCTCCCCAGAGCCTCCTCTTCCTGAGGCCGCACACCCCTCAGCCTGCCCTCACAGGGAGGACGTTCCATCCCTCGGATCATTTCTGCGGCCCTCCTCCTAACGTGAGCTCACCCTGCACGAAGTCACACACCAAATCTCCCCACGTTTCCCACTCACTTGCCCAGCCGCGGCCTCAGCAGCCTCATCACCGCCGCGAATCCTCCTTCCTCCTCTTCCTTCCTCCCCCGAAGGAGCTCCGCCACCGTCCCGCAGCCCGCGGCCCGTACCAGAGCCCCCAGCAGCTCCGTGGCCACAGCGCGCGACCTGACGCCGGTCCAGGCGGCCTCCTCGATGTGCGTCACAGCCAGCACGTAGATGTGCCCCATCACACGCCGCAGGACCGGCTCCACCGCGCGCCCCAGCGACTCGTCGGCCTTGGCAGTCTCTAGCTTAGCGAGGAGCCGCAGGAACACACCGCCGACATCGGCTGCTCTCTCAGCTGCGGCCGCGTAGGCGCCGTCCCCGTCGCGGAGCTCAACCGCGTCCTGCTCGCGCTCCGGGAGGGCCGCGAAGGCGCTCAGCGCGGCCGCCAATTCGCCCAGCGCAGCGGGGCTCCCGGCCCCGAACAGCCACCGCGGCTCCGCGGCCTCCAGCAACGCCCCCAGCTCCGTGATCACACCGGGCCGCTGGGAGAGGAGCTGGCCGAGCTGCCGGAGCACCTGCTCGGCCGGCGGCTGAGGCTCCATGGCACCGCGCGACCTACGCCGCTCCGAAAGCCCCGCAGCGCCTCACAGCGAACAGCAACTGCCTTCACGCTGCCGTAAACCACGCCACGACCACAAAGCGCACTGCTGTCGTAAAACCAGATTCCCCCGCTGTCGTAAAATCAGACTCTGCTGGCGAAGTGGGCGTGGCGCCGCGCGAATAAATTAGCATAGGTAATGAGAACCTTGTACTGAGTTATCGTGCAGACCCGAAGACGCGTAGAAAGGCAATGAGAGCAGAACTGAGCTGTGTCCGTAGGCGGAGGACGAAAGGTGCAAAAGACAACGGGAACAACGAAAAGAGGCCGCCTCGCCGTGAGCTCCGGGTGAGGTGCGCGGCAGTAGGGGCGGGAGCGGAGGGTCGTATTTTCGATCCTTCCGGTTCATAGCGAATGATGAATGGGAGTGGCACGCGGCTGCGTGACGTGTGCGCCCTCTGTTACGACGTGCACAGCCCCTTCTGAGCGCCGGAGGGTCGCGCTGGCGAATCAGCAGCTGACGAATCAGCAGACGTGTTTCGCTGTAGGTTTTAATTACAGGAGCGGAATAACGAACTTCGTGTCGGTTTTGGGTTCTGTTCACGGCTGGGTTTTCCCGTTTTCAGGGTATTTTAGGGCGCTTCAATGTTACTGCGCAGCCCTGCTGTTTTCTGCCCCACACCAAATACTCGCGTTTCAGCCCGACTGACAAACATCCGTTTAATCTGTTTTACGCAAACCTGTACATTTCTCCCCCAAAAGGGGGGGAGGCTGAGAGTCCGGAGGGCTGGGGTACAGAACGCTCTGAGCGCGGAGCAACTCAGCTCCACCCAGGCGGTCCCTGCAGAGCACACTGGGGTACAAACAAACACCTCCTACCTCCCCCCCCCTCCCGAAACAAAGCGACGCACCGTGAGCCAAACCCCGGCTCACAAACCCCAAATCCTTCAGGATTAAGCTTTCATTTTCCTGCGAAAACCGGCGGGGCCGCTCACACCATTTCATCCAGCAGAGTGCCGATGCTGGCGTGGGGCTGGGCTGGACCTGCCATTGGTTTGTTGCACATGGGGCACACGCAGCGCACTTCCAGCCACTTCACCAGGCACCTGCGGAGCAGAGACGTGGGAGGATGTAAATCCCCAGAAAGGAATCCCCTGCTGCCCACACACCTGTACTCACTTTCGGTGGAAGGCGTGCTGGCACGGCAGCACCCCCAGCTCCTCCTTCACCTTGAAGTCCTCCAGACAGACGGCACAGGTCTGCTGCAGGGGGTGAGAAAGAGGTGAGGGTGAGCAAGAATACATGGAACCCAAAGTGATGTCCATGCACAGCCCCTGCTAGAAATGCTGTGGCTGGGGAAGCCCTGCTGCTGGAATGCCTCTCCCCGGGTATTCCCAGCCCCACGCTGCTCAAGAAAGGGTTTTGCTTCCTGATTTTCAACCCAGAACTATTGATTCCAGCCTGATGCTGACACATCCCTGTCCAACTCTGTCACCATACAACCCCAGGAGCCCCATGTGAGCCCAAAGGATGGAGCTGTGATGAATGCACCATACTCACCCCATGCACATTCAGCCTCCGGGCATCACCTTTCAAAACCACCTGGGAAGGAGACAGCAGATGAGTATCAGGAGCAGCTGGGGACTGATCCAGTGGTAGGTTTCTATGAAGGAAGCATCGAGCTGGGAAAAGTCCAAGCTGGACAAACAGTGCCCATGTGCTCATCAGCCACCTCAAATGGGGCTCCGGGCTCCTGTGGGACAGACCCAGCCCTTAAGCTTCACTGAAATGAGCCAGGCAGGGGCAGGTTGAGCTGGGCACTGCAGCTGTGTGCCCAATGTGTTGGTGAGTAAGCTGGGGACAAGAACCATCACACCCTGCTGCATCCCAACCAGCTGCTCCCACCTCCTACATCGACCCCACATCTCTAGAGGCGTCTGCAGAAAACAGCCATCAGCCTTACCTCCTTGTACCCAAATCTCTCACTCTGTGCCTGGTGCCGCAGTTTGCTAGAGATGGGGAGAAAAAAAAGCACCGTGAACTTTACAGCATCCCCGAGAGGAGCATCTGAACAGCATGGATACAGTTCCAGGATGCTCCCTAAGTCCCCCTCCCAAAGCCCCTCTCCTGCAGAGCCAAGGGCTCTGCTCCACCTGCAGAAATCAGCAGCAGGCAGCGATAAGGGCCGACGGCCCCAATTGTTTGCCTTCGGAAGTCATTCGCGGCACAGGAAGCGCCCTATTTCCAGCACTCACCCACTGGCAGCTCCCAGCCCCACCATGACCTTGGCCGAGACAGACAGAGGAAAGAGCTGCTTGCAGAGCAACCCAGCAAAGCATAGGGGGAATGAGAGCGCTTGCAGCCTTCACTTCTCCCCCAGGCCAGGCACTGAGGTGTGCTCCCAGAGCCCCCAAATGGCTGAGGGTTGCAGTGGGGCTGAGGCATCCTGCAGTGAAGGACAGAGCAACTCGAGCCCACAAGAAACACCAGCTGCTGCTGCTGAGTTTAAAAATAGCCTTCCCTGAGCTGGGAGGGGAGTGGAAAGACATCCTTCTCCTGTGCAGCACTGCTCCTTCCCCTGCCCAACACAATGCATTGCTCCGCGTGGTCCCATGAAAAACAAGAGCCCCTTCCTGCGTTTCCTGCTCTGCTCTGCCACAGGGGACCAGGGGACTGAGCCTGGCCCCAATCCTTGGGACAGAGCCTTGTGATGAGCAGCTCTTGTGCAACGGGACAAAGCGATGGGCACAGTGGTCCAGGCGCTGCGGATGCTCCTGGATGATGAGTCCCCATCAGAACAGCAATCAGTGCTGCAGGGTTCCGGCTCACCTGATGAAGTAGCAGCAGAAGATGAGGCTGAGCACGAAGACAAAGATGCCGGTGCCAAAAATGATCATGTAGATGTTGAGTGGCAGGTCCTGGAATGTGATGGGGGGCATCGTGCAGGGTTTACTGGTGTAAATCAGCCCCAGACTGCAGGAGCACCCTTTGAGGGGAGAAGAAAACTCAGTATTTAGATTAGAAAAAAGAGGTGAAGAACAGAAGAAGATGAAACTTACCTTCTGCCATTCCATACAGGATATGCCAGACAGGGTAGGAGGTCACCCTGCAGACCAGGGCAGGAGACGTGTGCAGCTCCTGCTCACTCCCATCTGTACTCTCCCAATGCAGTCCCCAGAGCCTCCCATCCTCTAACAAAAGCCCTGACACTGTCTTCTGGGCTGGAAATCAGAGATATCTGCAGGGGCAGCACCACTTCTTTTGCCAGCACTGACTGCTGCATCTCCACAGACCTGAGCTGCTCTCCAGCAGCACGATGTGCCAAAGGCAGGGCATGATGTGCCTGCGAAGGATGGGAGGCATCCAGCTCAGAGATGTGCATCAGGTGAGCATCTGGGCTGCAAGAAACGAGGTTTTCCTGCCTACAGAGGGCAGAGCCACTGCTGGCCTTTGCCTCCTGTAATTGCTTGACGCAGCCTATGTGCCACTCATCTATGGAGCATGAAAGGGAGGATTTGTTTGTTGGCTGCTGTTCTCCCAGCATTCTGCTCTCCAGACCACCAGGTGCAGGAAAAGACAATAGGAAAGGGTTGCTTTTTTTTTTTTTTTTTTTTTTTTTTCCCCTGCTGGAAATGATTGCAGGGGGAAAAGAAGAAAAAAATATATTAAAAGAACTATCTCAGCTCTTAAAAAAAACCCCAGGGAACAAGCACATGAGGTAATGCTGTGTGCAGGGTGCACAGACTGCTCAGCAGTGCTGAGGGATGGAGCAAGGCTCAATTTGAAGGTGACCAAAAGGAGAACAGTTGTGGCAACGATCATAGCCCATGAGCATGCAGATAAAGCAATGCTCCTTCCACGTGTGAAAAGCTCCACTGCCACAAGAACTACGGCACCAGGAGCAGCCCCAAAACAAGCTAAGGGTTGGGAAGCTGAGTCCCATTTGGCCCTTCTTTTGATGGGAATGCAGGGCTGTCCCCACTCTTTGCCACTCACACACAGGGATTGGCAGAGCAGTAACACGGAGCAGGGGCACAGATGAGGTAGGAGAGGAGAAGCTGTAACTTACAGCCCTGTACTGAAGGAAGCAGAGAGGAGCAGCTCTGACACGTCCCTGCCAGTCGCAACACAGCTGGCAGGGTTAATTTTAGACCCACCAGCTTAGCAAGGTTCATTCCTGCTAAAAAGGCGTTCAGGAATTCCCAAGGGCCAGAAGGCAGCACAGCTCTGGGCAGTGCCTGACCCGGCTAGGGAGCAGGATGAGTCCTGGAGCAGCAATCCCAGCCATTCTAACCAGACCCCCTGGCTCCTGCATCTCTTCCCAATGGAATTTATTAGCAGGACGGGCGCTGATTTGGTGCTGGGATTAATTAGCACAGCCCTTTGCCTGACAAAAGCTTTTGTATTTTTAGCTCGAGAGGAACAGAGCAAATCTGGTTTTAATACAGCAAAGGCCCGATGGGCACCAAACCCAAACCAACCAATGTAAGCCTCCCCAGAGCCAGTTCTGCACCTGAAAGCAGAGGCCTGGAAAGCAGCAGGCACGAATGGTGACTCTGTCTGTGCAGTGCTTTGTGAGCTGGATGCAGGCATGGGGTTTGTGCTGAGCACAGCTTCTCCCTCACCCCCAATTCTTGTTCAATCAAACAAATGGAAAACTCAGCAGGTCATTAAATAAAACCATTCTTTCCACTCCCGCACAAAAGCTATGAGCTTTGCATCACCAAAATTGAATGCAGCTTCCATATAATTTTTGCTGTGATGCTGCAATGGGCTTCCTGCAAAAGCCTGCCCTGTGCCAACAGCTCACAGCAGGGACAGTGCCTACCAAAGATCAGGGCTGGGGACCACCAAATCCCCCAGAGAACAGCTGAGCAATGGGAGGAAAAGCTGTGATGCCAAAGAGGAGCTGCAGTTCCAGGCCAGCGCAGCACATACCTTCTGTTATGAAATGGGGAGCACAACTATTTGGGTTGAAAACTCAATTTCTTTGCTGGATATCACGTTTATTCGCACCAATGGCCCCGATTCTGCGACGATCCTCACAAGTATACAACAAAGCAATTTTGCTGGACACCATTGACTTAAATATTTGTGAGGTCAGGGCTTAAGGCCAAAACACACACGTCAGATGCTTAAGGCCAGTCCTAAACCCACATCCTGGCCTTTACACAAGGGCAGGCTCTGTTCTCAGCGCTGCCCAAAGCCCAAACAGGAGGAAGCTGGGAGAGCTGTGGCTGCTCAGAGCCTCCCAAAGCAAATTCTGTGCCTGGGGCTGCTGCATTTGCTGCTGAGGAGCACTAATGCAGCCCACGAGGGCAACCCACGGCTGGCACATGGGCAGCCTGCCTGCCTGCAGGAGCACTGCTCACCCCAGCTGCACAGCACACGCAGGGCATTGCGTTACAGCAGAGGAAGCCACTGGTTGCATTATATTTAGCTTCAAAGGCTGTAACCCCTCCATAAATTAAAAGAACCCGGCCTTTGTTGCTGAGGCAGAGCTTTGATGGTGGAATTCCCAGCTCAGCTTCTCAGCTATTAGTCATAAAAATCAACCACTTCTCGTTTAAACAGAACTCCCTCACATGTGCAAACAGTTCCATGTTTCTGTGAGTTTCTTTCAGCCAGGAGCAGAGTGAGGAGCCGTGCCTGGGCTCCACTAACATAAGTTCATTCCACAGACACGTGGGAGAAGGGTTTGCATTTTGAGCAACACGAGCAAAAAAGCTGCAAGTTTCATCAGCAGTGGGCTTGGAGCTCTGGAAGTGAACCAGAAACAAGAGGGAGGTGACCGTGACCGTGACCCTGACCCTGACCCTAATCCTGACCCGAGTCCACGGAGCTCCGGGAGGAGCCAGAAGGCACCGCCCGGGACGCGAAGCAGCCTGGAACCACCCCAACCCCTCAACCCCATCCCGGTTAAGGCTGTAGCCCCAAACCCCGGCCCCGCTCTCACCGTGGCACCACTGGAACGGGGGCATCCGGGAGCGGCTCCGCGGGGCCGGACCGGCTCCGCCGTGCGTAGCGCCGGGCCATGGCCGGGAGCGGGGCCGGGCCGGGCGGCAGGGAGCGGCCCCGGCCCCTCAAACTCCGCCCCGGCCCACGGAGCCGCCCCTGGAGCCGCCCCCGGTCTCGGAGCTTCGGGTTCTGCTCGCCCCGAGCTCCGCTCTGCGCCGGGGAGGAGAGCACCGTGCATCCCTGCGAGACGTCCCGCACGTTGGATGGGGCTGCTGGGGGATATCCCAGCCCATGGCAGGAACGGGAGCAGAAGGATTTTTAGGTGCCTTCCAACTCAAACCCTTCTGTGATTCTGTGCATCAGCCGTCCGGGGAGCTGTGCTGCAGGCGCTGAGCTCCCAGTGACTCTCAGCCTTGTGCAAGCGATGCAAAGGAGATTTGGGCATGATCAGACACTTCCCTCGATGAGCAGCATCCCTCGCTGCTCATCGACCTCCCAGCAGAGATGCCCGGGCACTGCCAGCATTCAGCAATGCACAGCACACCCAGCAATGCACAGCACCCACAGCAATGCACAGCACACAGCGATGCACAGCACACAGCAGTGCACAGCACACCCAGCAATGCACAGCACCCAGCACTGCACAGCACACCCAGCAATGCACAGCACACAGCAATGCACAGCACCCACAGCAATGCACAGCACCCACAGCAATGCACAGCACAGCACACACAGCAATACACAGCACACCCAGCAGTGCACAACACACCCAGCAATGCACAGCACACAGCAATGCACAGCACCCAGTGATGCACAGCACCCACAGCAATGCACAGCACAGCACACACAGCAATACACAGCACACCCAGCAGTGCACAACACACCCAGCAATGCACAGCACACGCAGTCTGACAGTAATTTCATTCTCTGATTCACCCCTTTCTGTCCTGGACTGAGGATCAGGGAGGACTTCTGCCCATCCTAACCCTGAGCACACCGAGGCAATGTTCTTCCACACCCATGGCAGATTTGCAGCCTGAACACAAAGTCTGTCTCAAAGCACACAAGGGATGGCCAGATTTCTTCCTTAGCACTGCCTTTATTTGTACAGGTTATCACTAAGCACGGAGGACACCCAAACACTATGAATAAAGGCCTGTTTGCCGGGGACCATATGCCAGACCTAATTCACATCGCTGCACAGACCGAAAACAAATGGGAAACAAGACAAGGAACACACACAGCTTCAGTCTCCTGGGAGGGAAAGATGGGACAGGCTTGGCAGATGCATCTGCCACACGGGAGAACCAACCCTTGAAGGCTTCCAGGAGCCAACAGGGGTCCAGAATAACCTGAAACGTGGGGCCATGTCTCTCCAGAGGCATCTCTGCATGAGCAGGCTGGGAAGGAGGCTATGCATTAGGCCTACCTAAGTGGCAAGATTGCAGGTTGAGGGCCTATGCTTTACCACTAGGAATAGCTCGCATGTCTGTGGACCCCCTCTGCGGGGGGAGACCGGTTGCATGGAACCCATTAGCTGCCAAGCATCTGCACCAAGAGGAAAGCCCTGTCTACCTCTGCCACTCAGTGGTATGGGATGAGCACTGCGCTGCTCCCACCACACGGCCCTTCTCATCCTCCTTCACGTGCTCCTCTTCAGCCTCAGGGCATTGTCCAGGGCGACCAGCTGGCGCAAGAACCCCCGGTTGGGGATGATGCCACGGTGATCCTTGACCGTCTTTATGGCTTCTACGAGGGGCATGTGGTGGCGGATCATGAGGTAGGCGAGGACCAAGGTGGCCGACCTGCTCACCCCGACAGCACAGTGCACAAGGATCCTTCCTGTGGGTAAAACACAGGGGCTGTGTCACAGCAGGGTGAATATCCCAAATACAAAGTTACTGAGGATCCAAATTTGCTGCGTGCATCCTGGTGCTGAAGTCAGGCGTGCAGCCTCCAGGGCTGCAGGTAGGGCCTCAGCTATAGCATGGCTATGATGCACAGTTGTCCCCTCCTTGGCAAAGGGTATCAGAGCAACAGGGTCTCCCAAAACAGTCTGAATAGGAGCAGCCACAGTGCTGAGGCTGTGACCCATGGGGCCAGGACTCTAATATGGCCCATCTCCTCTTTGGAGGAGGCGATCCAGACCAGAAGATTGTTGGACTATATTGCCTTAGTGATCTTTTCCAACCTTAATATTTCTATGATTCTGCAAAGACATCAGCCTGGAAGTAGCTTTGTTTCCTAGGATGCCAATCAGCTTTCCACCCACCCTCCGCATTCCCCACGTCTGTCCCACCGCTCTTTATCACTGACCTTCATTCAGCGCCTGATGGATGAAGTCAGCTGCAGGATAGAAGTAGGGGCTCATGTCAAAGGAGGGCGAGTCGTGGGCCTCGATGCCCAAGTAGCGGATGCCCGTGCCCTCGTAGTACTCTGCACCCCCTCTCCATTTGCTGTGCGAGGCGTTGAGGATGTGGGTGATGCGCAGGTGAGCCAGCTCACGCCGGTTGGCTGCTATATCTCTGCAAGAAGGGAGAAACAGTGCAGGAAAATTCCACGTTAAAGAGAAGTTTCAAATGTCCTGGTCAAGCATTTGCATCTGAGAAAGCCAAAGGAGAAGGAAAGATGCTGAACTCAAACTCACAGTGATAGGTAATCTCACAGTCCACGGGCACATGGTCCTTCCTCCTCCTTCAACCCATGTCCTCCTCTCCCTCACTTTCCCAACTTTCCTCTCCTAGTCTCCTCCATTTCAAAAACCATCCCTCATCCCCTCACTTCTCATCCCCTTGTGATACGTACTGATCTCCCAGGTAGAGTCCCGGCCAGACCTCATCAGCATGGTTACAGGCTGTCTTCCCTGTGTACAGCAACCGTTCGAGCTCGAAGATGCTGAGGATGGGATGGTGGTTGCGTTCCTCCCGCACACCCCGACTCGGTGACCTGGTGCTGTTCCTGGAGAACCGGGACAGGAAAGCCATTGGAGCTGCCGAGACCCACAAGGCATACCTGTGGGGTCTTGAAGGCCGCAGAGTGGCCTGGAGGTCTCTTCTGCTGCTGCTGCCACCCACGGTCCTGTGATGGAAGTGGTGGAGTTGCTGTTAGAAGGATGGGGAGCTCCCACTCCAGCCCTGCTGTAGAGCTGCTGGCCTGAAACAGCCAGGCCCAATCTTCCTGCAGAGAGGGCAGTGTACAGGCAGCTATCCAGTGGTTCCCGCCGTGAGACAGCATCACCTACGGTCCCTTCCAAGAAGCAATACTGCTGGGGAGCAGTTTGTAATGCCAGGACTGAGGAGGGAAGCCAGAAAGGCAGCCAGATTGCTGAGTCTCCATGGGCTGAGGTTCTGCTCCAGCTCCACAACTTTGGGTTGAAGCCATATTGGCAAGAGATGCTCCATACAGGACCACCTTCCTCCTGAGCTGGCTCGGGGGCTTTGCCTGCCAGCAGGACAAAGCCAGCTCAAGAACTGATGCTGCCAACCTGTGATCAAAAGCAACGAAAGGCGGCCAGCTCTGGGCAAGCCACCAGGATTGGGGAGGAAATGCCCCAAACAGGTGGAGGATTCCATATGGCACCGTGCAGAGCCTGGCCTGGGCCCAGACTGCTGCAGACCAGGCACAAAAGCCTGCAGGGAGGGAGTGCAGGATTAACCCTTCTGAGCACAGCAGTCCTGCTGCTGCTTTTGAACATCAGGGCTGGTTTCAGGTGGGAAAGAGTTAAGTGGATGAGAAAGCTCATTTTACAGAGTCGGTCCTCTGGGATACAGCTCCACTCTCAAACCTTTGGATCATGGTGATACATGTCACCCATCTGCAGAAAACCTCCCTGGAGCAGTGGCAGTCCCTGCAGCCAGGCATTAGCTCAGAGCTGCCTTCTGCTGCCCAACCAATGCAACCCCTCAACACGAGCATGCAATCCCCATGCAGTTCCCCTTCCCACCATCTTGCTGCTGCTCTGAGCTGCCTGAGGGACAGAAGGTGTCCCCAGGGCCCTCACCGCAACCCCAGCAGCAGCTCAGTGCTGCCCACTTCTCCCAGGGACCCTGGGAGAGGAAGCTGAGTGACATTGGGCTGGAGCAGATCACATCTCCCTGCTCTGACATTTCGCCCAGGGCACCTGCCAGCAGCCAGCAGCGTGGAAGGGAGAAGCCTCCAGCCATTTCTTGGCAATGTGTGTAGGAGAAAAACATTGCAAGGACATAGGGGAGCTCAGAGGGGGTCCAGAGACCCCTGGGTGTTCTCCTCCCCTCGCCCTGTGCCTGGGGTGCTGCACAGAGAGGTCAGTGCTGTCTGCACCCTTGTCCCAGGCACTGCTCCCCAGTTCTGAGCAGGGCTGGATCTCACCCTGACACATCTTCTCTGCCCTGATGAATTTTGGACTCCTTCATGCTGGGAATTCAGACTTGGCAAAGCCCACCTGGAAAAGGGATTCAGTGTGGCTGCGTGCCGGGCCCTTAAACCTTGGGTGACCTTGGCTGCAGCGCAGCCACATGCCACCATAGGCAGCATGAGGAAACAAACAACAGAGGGGTCTGAAAAAAAACACCACGTCATCATTACGAGGCTGTGCTGAGCCAAACAGCAGACCCCCTTATTGCTGCAAAACCAGCAATCCATACCTATGGGGGGGGGGGATGCAGCTCTAACCTCAGGCCCAGAGCTGGCTTCCAGCATCCCACCCCCAGCACACTGTTGTGCCTGAAGTGCTGCAGGGGAAGAGAAACTGCCCCGCATCCGAGTACTCAGGACAGACCCCACCCTCCCCCTATAGGCACCCCATCAGAGCTCACAGCCCGCTCTGCCCATGGCTGCTCGGAGCCCCTCTGCTTGTCATGCCATGCTCAGAGGGAGGGGAGTAGCAGGAGAGCTGCCTGGAGCAGAGCACGCTCCCGGAGACAGACAGACAGACACGCAAGAGGGAGGAGACGCCCACCCTGTTACTCTACCTTGGTGAGGGCTGAGATGTCTCTGCTCCAAACGTGTGGTGTGCTCAGATCCAGTCGGCCATGTCTTCCTGCTGCTGCCGCCGCTGCTGTGGAAAGGCTGATGTATGAACATCTATTTTAAGGCATGACATGTCCAGAGGCAGGTTTGTTTATATCATGCTGTGCATGGATGGATAAGGGAGGAATGAGGGAGACGGACACAAACGCTGGCTCTCGTACAGGCATGCACACACCCGCACATAAATGCCCATTACTACGCAGACAAAAACAACAGCAATAATAGCAGCTTTGCTCTCACTCCTCCTCCAGCAAACCAAAGCCCCGGGCAGACAGAGAAGGGGAAAGGAAAGCTCTGATGCAATGGTGCTGGTGGCATGGTTAGCATCATTGTACCTCTGCAGCTGTCTGTGGAGGATGCTCTGTCATTTCTTTGTGATAATTGACCCTGATGAGCTCCCTTGCTGGGGTCTGTTAAGCAAAGCTGGGGTTTGGTGACAATTTCTTCATTTGTGAAGGAAATAAGCCTTGTGGGGGGATGGGGATCTGTCTTATCTATTGATACAGTCATGCCAAAGTCAGGGATAAAAAGAGGAAACTCAGAAGACTGAAGCTTTTTGTTTTGACGTCTTCTAAATGACATCGTTCATTTCAGAAGTGCTTCAGTATTTCAGTCGAATATTTCCCAGGCAGAGCACTTTGAAGTGCTGGTGTTCAATTTAAGTTTGCCACAAATCAGAAAGTAGGAGAGTCGGGGGGAGAAAACAATCTGAGAAGGAATGGAAACGCACTGTTCCAGAGCATGCAATCACCCTCAGGTTTATGGCACTCCAATTAAACAGAAAACTTTCTGCATAGTTGTGCATCTTAGGAGGCAACCTCAGGAGCTCCAGGGCTGAACGCAGCATCCCTGTGCAGCTGCCCTGTGCACTGCTGCCCTCCAGGCATGCTGTCAGCTGCCTCTGCTCCCTTTAGCTCCTGTTCAGCACGTGGGAAGATGCACCCAGAGGCCCCACAGCAGACTCCCAGGGGAGCACAGGTGCCAACAGGGGACAGCCCCAGGAAGCCCTGACCCTGCTGAGCCAGTATTTCCATGCTGTGGAATGCTGCCAGCTCAGGAAAGCCTGTCCTGTGTTTCATCCTGAGCAGAGGGTTTGGTGCCACTCACTGCAGAAAGGCCCCACTTCTGCCCTCCAAAGCATAGTGGCCAAGTGACCTATAAACAAATTTCCAGCTGTTGTGTGGACAGCTTTAACGTGGACCCTCTCCCCATTCCTATCCCAATAGTCTAAGTTGTGTTTCTAAACAGAAGTGCCAACGACTTCCATCACAAGAGGTGAAATCTGAATTAAAAAAGCCCAACATGAAATAAAATTAGATGGATAAACTCTTTGGCAGAGCATTGCCTGTAGGGAACTTACTGGCCATTTAAAGAGAGGATTAGTAGTCGGTATGTTTTTATTCCAACAATACTGGAATTGCTTTGTAAAGCAGCCAGAAGTCTCCAACAAAGCCAGTGACTTCTGAGATAATGACATCTCTGATGGTTTGGAATGTCTGGGCAGCTGCAGTGAGGAGTGTCAGCAATCTACTTCTGCAGAAGGGAAGTTTCTCAGACACAAGCCAGACCTCCCTGCCTCACCTCCTCCCTTTGTTTTCCATAAACGGTGGTGTTGTAGTGCAGACTGATTCACTCCTTGCTCCCTGGCAGGATTTATCAGCTTGTGTCCCTCCTGCAGCACCTGTCCTTGAGGACAAGAAGCCAAAGCCCCGGAGTTGGGCTGCAGGCTGGGGGGGCTCAAGCTGCACTCGGTGTTTGCTGTGACTTGCACACGCCTTGCTCACTTCCCCCACCTCCTGACCACCCTGTTGTTGCAGCTCCATCCCTCACTTGTTTTGCTCAGCTACGCACTGAAAAGCCAAAGTCACCAAGGCACAGGGAGAGAATTGAGAAGACGAACCTGGAAAGCCTTTCACCTGCCCACAGTTGCCCCAGGTGTGTCCCCCTGGGCAGCACCCAGCTGCAGGACCAGCCACAGCATCCCACAGCATCCCACAGTTCTGCTATCCTGCCAGCTCTACCACTCCACCATGCCTGAGCCCCACAGCTGCAAAGGGCTTCTGGTGCTGGGCAGGCAAAAGCTGTGTGGGTGCATGGCTGGAGAGGAAGGGAGAGGCATGCTGCAGCTTCCCTGAGCTGTGGGCATCGCTGCAGAGAGCTGCTGTAGAGCTGAGCAGCTGAAGGGCAGCACAGCAAAGGTTTCCTGCATCCCATGGCTGCAGACCTGCTGCTGAGGGGGGTGCTGCCATACAGCAGGGGTGGGATGCTGGCACAGGCAGTGCTGTATCCCCCTGTAGCTGTATCTCAGCTATTGTCAAAAACTGCTGTGCACAGCAGGCCTTCGGCGGCGAGGGCAAAGCAGCTGCTTTCAGCTCAATTAGAGGCAGAATTGGCTCCCAGCAGAATAAGCAGCACGCCTGCAGCTCCCAGCTGTCCCTCCCCTCCTAAACGGAGCTCAGAGCGGGGAGGAATAGGGGTTGGGGTTCTGCAAAACCCACAAGCAAGCTGCAAAAAGGGCAGCTTGGAAAAGTTTGCAGATCCGACCACTGGAGGCTGCTCTGGTTATACATAAATCACCACTGTGTGCATTGTCAAACATGGAAAACTCAACCCAAGGAAATAAAGGGCAGGGGTTAGAGAGTTTCTGAGCTGCTTTTTCCTGCCTTTATACTCCACATGCATGCAAATGCACCGTAGACTTCACAGCTCTATTTTAAAGATCAGAGATCAATCACTTCACGCAGTAAATGCTGCATGTCCAAAAGCCACCTGGAAGGCACAGGAGCCAGAGTTTATTACACTCAATCACAAACAGAATGGATGTATTTCATCCAACATTCACTGCTCGGCAGACCCACTGCAGAGGAGGGAGAGAGTGCAGAGGAAGCTGCAGAACACCAGCAGAAAATTAAGCCTCCTATTAACTGGCAGTCACGGCAAAAAGGCAACATTATGGAGAGGAGCAATGTGGGTGGGAGCAGTGTTGCAGCAACAAACTGAGAGGGATCTGACAAATGGGGTTTGCTTGGCACTGAGCAGCCCAGGAGGAGCTGTGTGCTCAGGTGGGGTCAGCGAGCACCCAATGGGGGAGGGAAATCCCTTGCACTGCTCTCTGGCTGTGCTGTGGGGTGTGCTGCAGGCTGCCTCATGAAGCATCACAGAACATTGGTCTGCAAGAGGCTCCTGAGGCCACACAGCCATCCCAAAGTGGTATCAACTCCATCAAAGCAGTGAGGTAACAAAGAGCAATCTTCATTCTCTATTTGCTTGCATATAGGACAGGAATGAAGGTTTCTTTGGGTCTCCATCCATGCTGTAGCTATTCTGGAAGGAAACTGCAAAGCTCGAGGTTACCTTCCCTGGGGCTCTCCCAAATCTCTCCATTCTCTGGGACAGCAGTTGTGTGCTGTTAAATCCTCTCCCAGTCCCCAAACAGAAATCTGCTTCACCATAAGAGTGGGATCGAAGGCAACAAACCCTTGGAAGGAGGATGTGCAGGAACACAGCCCCTCTGTGCCCACTCCAGAACAGACATTAAAGCCTCATCGCTTGGCCGGATCGATTCACTGCTGGAGGGGCCACTCGAGTTCTGGCAAAGCTGAGATATTTTCCATTAAAAGAAAGGAAAAGAGG